AAGGTAATAAAGTGAAGCAACTTCATAGGAGAAAAATCTTCATGAAGAGAATGGATTTGATTAGGACCTTTTTCTTTTATTGTTTTCATTAAAGAAAATTAATAAATTATCTATTGCATCAGTCCCCAACCTTTTTGGCATCAGGGACCGGTTTCATGGAAGAGAATTTTTCCACAGAGCGGTGGGGGGATGCGGGCAGGGGGATGGTTTCTGGATGATTCAAGCACATTACATTTATTGTGCAGTCAAACCTCTCTGCTAATGATGATCTGTATTTCAGCTGCTCCCCAACACTAGCATCACCGCCTCAGCTCCACCTCACTCATCAGACATTCAATTCTCATAGGAGCCACAGCCTAGATCCCTGGCACCTGCAGTTTACAGCAGGGTACAGTTTATAGTAGGGTTCTCGCTCCTGTGAGAATCTGATGCCACCGCTGATCTGACAGGAGGCGGAGCTCAGCGGTGATGCGAGGGATGGGGAGCAGACGAAGCTTCGCTCACTCTCCTGCCGCTCACCTCCTGCTGTGCCGCTGGGCTCCTACCAGGCCGTGGACCAGTACTGGTCTGCAGCCGGGCATTAGGGACTGCAGGTCTGACAGTAGGGACTAAGGGGTGTTCTTGCAATAAAGCAGATAGGTCAGTGAGTAACTGTTAATGAAAAAATTATTCAAACACTTGTTAAAGATGGCAAGGCAGATTTTGTTCACGGGTACTACTACAATGAGTTTTTGTAGTAGGGAAGAGATTGGGCTCAACTCCAAATACAACAAGGAAAATTGGGACTTTATAGTCAAGGAGCAGGGTGGTAGTCAGGAGATAGGATATTACTAAAAGGGTAGGGTAATCGTTGGGCTTAGTCAAGCAGAGGTCTCAGAGGAGCCTAAGGAAAGTTTGATCAAAGACATAATCTTTGTCAGGGCCCATGTTAACGGTAAGTTAGTCATTAGTACAAATTAAGGAAATGTAGACTCAGAGGTAATTAGCATTTGAGCCTGGGCAACAGCGCAAGACCCTGTCTCAAGAAAAAAATAAATTTTAACTAATTCAGATAAAGTGTGGCTTTCATAAAGTGGATGACCATTTTCATTTAGAGATTGGGCAGATACTTTGCAGTAACATGCTAATTAAACAAAAAGAACTCAAAACCTGTACAACTATATCAGCTAGTGGAAGAATAAGAGCTGCAGCAAATCTTTTTAGAGTGTCAGCTATGTGCACAGCCGCATGGTAGTTCCCTGGGAGACACAGAAGTGAGTAGAGCTTGGAGGCCAGGAGGAGGGCTAAGATGGGCATGTGGGTGACTCTGGCTGGCAGGATGAGAGATGCAAACCTCAGGCTACAGGAGTTAAAAGGCAGAGCAGTTACTTCTGTCCGTTTGCAGGATTATCAATGAAGGCTTCAAAAAAGTTACAACATTTGAAATCGATAGTACAGATGAGCAGGATTTTAGTGACTGGAAGTGAGAAAGGAGGGGAAAGACGCAGGCAAGGACGAGCATGGGGAACGGGACACACTGAGAGAGTAGAAAGTGGCTGGTTTAGACCAGAACATGAAATAGATATTGGAATGTAAGATTAGAAAAATTGGTTTAGACAAGATCAGCAAAGACCTTGACTTATAAACAAAGTAATCTAATCTTTTAAAAATCTATTGAGAAGCTATTAAGTGTTTTAGGACTGAGAGTAAGATGAATAGAGATTTCATTATTGCAGTTAATCTAGCTGCTGTATATCAGATAGGTTGGCATGGAAAATCTGGAGGTGGGGAGATAAATTAGGTAGAATTTACAATAACCTAGGAAAGAGGTGAATGATTAAAGAAGTAAAATTTTGGGAATGGACAAGAAGGAGTAGATATGAGAAGACAAGATGACCATTAACACTGTGCTAACTCGTGTTTTGTTCTGGTGACCAATAAAAGACAAAAGAAATATCTAATTTTAGGCAGGAAAAAAATTATTTTAAAATAGACACATGCAAAGGGAAGTGGTTGGAAACATAGAACTAGAACTAAAGGAAGAGAGTAGATAAGTGTCGTGAAGAAAAAGAGTTAAGAATGACAAACCAGACCGTTGGACACCCCTTAATGTCAGAATTTTTCAACTGCGGTGCTGTCGCCACTTTGGGCCAGATAATTCTTTCTGTGGAGAGCTGTCCTGTGCATTGTAGCAATTTAGCAGTGTCCCTGGCCTTCACTCACTAGATGCTAGTAACCACCCCTCAATTGTGACTATCAAAAATGTCTAGACATTGCCAGATGTTCCTTAGGGGATAAAATTATCCCATTTGAGAACCACAGCTTTACATGAATCAAGATATGGGCATATAATAGTCATTGTATATTGTTTCCTGATCATTTTTTAATGTTAAAAATATGACAGTTTTAACATTATATATTCAGACTTGCAGGCTGAAGCATGGACAATCCATGAAAAACTACCTGCCACAACATGGCACTGTGGTTGGACTTCAAGCAGAAAATGGCAGGTTTCCCCTGTCAGTGGC